GTGCTGCACCCCGGCCCCCCCGTAGTAATCGACATATTCCTGTGGGGAGGAAACGTCAGCGCGTCAGGGACAGCGCCCGGGCACGGCAACGCGGCAGCGACACGGGCTGAGGGACCACACAGGGGAAAAACCACAGTACTGGTGAAACTGGGGGTAAAGCAGCCCTGTGCCAGCAGCTCTCTGGGGTCTGGCAGCCCTTGGTGGCCCCAGAGCCAGGGCTGCTCTCCAGCAGCCACCCCTGCACAGCACGTCTGCGCTGGCTCAGAGTCACTGACCCCTCGGTCCCTTTTCCTCCACCAAGGCCCCTCACCCTGATGGATCAGCCACCCGTGTGAGCTCACCTGAATCTGGGATTTCTTCTTGCCAGGTGCTGGCTCATTGATGGGCATCTTAATGGTCTCTTCGTAGTTGGTGACCACGATGGAGCGCAGGGCGCTGAACTCGGTGTGCAGCTGCTTGTCGTCCACCGACCAGAAGCGGTGGAAGAGCAGGTTCTTCTGGTACCTGCCCAGGGCACGTTCAAGTCCCTTGCTCTATCCCCACACTAATGAACCTCTGCTCTTAATTAGCCTCTGCCATCAGTGTTGGAGGAAATGGGACCAGCAGAGCAGTGCTGTTGCTCCATCCCACCTCCCTGCAGCCCTCCCCACTCTTACCAGTCTGCCACTGGGACCATCTGGAGGTCGGGCTGGTTCCCCACGACATGGTCGATGAAGTTGAGCTTGGCGCTCGGCCTGTGGGGGGAAGCCAGGGGCAGCCCTCAGCTGGGCTTGGGGACACCGGGGGGCTCTGGGGTGATATGGTGGGGACCTGTCCAGCTCCCCGCTGGGACATCCCACCAGCACAGGGTGGCAAAGAGCGAGGCAGGAGCCTCTGCAAAGACTCACAGCTTGGGCAGCAGGGGGTCCTTAAAGAGGGGTGGGTGGTACCCGGGTAGGAAGAGGCCCTTGTAGTTGGACTTTTCTATCAAGGTGTGGGTGGTGTCACCATACTGCGAGAGAGGGGAAAGCGCTTGCCTGGTGGCCCCAGTTTTGGGGACCCCCAAGTCCAGCCTGCTCTCACAGACCCCACTCCCCAGCTGCCCTGCCGCTTACCGTCTGGATCACCGCGAACTTCACCTTCCCAAATTTGTCCTCCTCCACCCAGGGCTCCTTCACCACCACGGCTCCGCGCTCCTTGGCTTTCTGGGCAGAAGAATCCCCGGGGCTGGGGGGCAGTGTCCCCAGGCCCTCGCCCACCTCCCCTCGCTGTTTCGGGGTGCCGTGCAGGAGGGAGCAGGGGGGCTGCCTACCTGCACGATGAAGTCACAGTCCTCCACCTCGAAGGCAATGTCCTTCACCCCGTCCCCGTGCTTCACCAGGTGCTCCCCCATCTCTGCCCGGACCAAGAGCAGCCGCAGGTGTGAGCAGAGGGGCTCTGCCCCCCGTGGGCAGTGCCCACCCCACCCCCCAGCACCTACC